TAGATACGGACGTCAATTATGTTACTCTTTAAAAAAATGGCATAAAACTTTTTTATGACGTCAGTAGGATGAAATACGAGAACGATTCCAAGCATTGAATGTCAAAGTGTCACCTTTTTCATTTTTCTGCGATTTCTGCGATATTTTAAGGAACAGCTGAACACATACAAGCGTGTCTCAATTAGTTCTAATTAAAGCAATTTGTAAGTTCTTTTTCGATGAACGTTTCTTAAGAATTCTATTTTTGAAAGTAAAATAAACGTAACGATATTTGAGAACCAAAAATGGAGAAGAATATCTGTTATTAAGAAAAATATAAACATTAATTTTTTTCGTGAATTTCGTTCGTGCCTTTACGGGTAAAAAATTAATTTTGCCAAAAGTCTCTAATATTTTATGTATATACTATGATAACATATAATGGTATTTATAAATAAAAAAATTGCTTCATTTTATTATTACTTTTTAGTCTATTGCTACATTTTTCCTGTATCCTGTTAATATGCAAATCAGCTTATTCAGTGCTTTCAGAATAACATTTATAATTATTATTTACCTTATTTCTATTAATAAAACAAATATATGTTATAATAATACTCTTTTACTATTTTTAACTGACTTACAATTAAGTTTAAATTAAAAATTAATTTCTCATACGGATAAAATCGATTTTCCTTGTCATTAATTATTTTTCCTATTATTACTAAGTTTATCATACTTAATATTCACATTTACATATATGGAATTTAAAAATACTACCTCAATGTTCGTATACCTAACACCTAATTTTCGTCACCTAATTCGTTGTCGCAATACTTAATTTAAGAATTGTAAAACTGAACCACTCGAAATACCTCATTTATCGCTTAAACCCTGAAACATTCCGCTTGAGATATTCACGTAATTATTAAAACAATGTCACAACAGTTGGGAACGTTGAACTGTGGCCAACGATACACGCAAATCAATTCATCGTCAGCCACCCATATAATATCATGGTTTACGTTGCACATTTAACTCGTTACTTCGCTAATTTATTCGAATAATAAATTATTCGTTATTTCCAAATAATTTCGTTCGTCTGTAACCTTCATTGAAAAATTATTTGGCTTAGAATTAAATCGAAGTTGCGTTTCAATGATTTATTTAAAAGTGTTCGAAAATTCCTGCTGAGAAATGTTTCTGGAATAATTTGTAAAAAATTATTTGGAAATTTGTATTCGAATAACATCCAACTCTGCAATAAACATTTCATATATCATATACATGCAACAGACTTCACTTCCGCCCCATTCGATTCAAATGCAAGCTTACGATTTAACGAGGAAACCGTGATATTTTCAAAACAAATATTTCTACATAAGTTTATTCTTTTAATGCGCGAAAAGCAAGCGGAATATCAACTTTTAACCAATCTGTTACTTAAATATATACGTAACAAACACTGGTCACGATCTTCGGTCACGAGGAAGTGAATCAGTGAATTTTATTCGTTTCTCGGTATGCTCAACGGATTCACGAGTTCAACTACGATAATTGTTTTTTCCACTTCGAAAGCACGTGGTTCGTACGAAGAAAGGAAAATAACAGACTTACGACTGTAACGCTAGAAGATCAGCAGAAGGTTCTCGGTTGGCTAGAAAGGCTTCGACTGAAGTCGGGTAATACAGAAACAATTTGAAATCTTATACGATTTGAAGAACGTCAATAGTCTACGAAGCCTCTATTAGCGAAAAACTCGATTAGACATAACCTCCGCAACTTGAAGTTTTCAGCTCTTTGCTTGAGATTCGACTTATCGAGGTTCGATTGTAAAAAGCAAGTAATGGCACTTGTTCTACCATTCGAACAACAAAATTTTCATGACAGGAGGATAATACGCGCAAGCTCTAATGGTAAAGCAGACATCGAGGTTGGTTAAGGAATCAGGATATTTATAAACATAACCTCAAAAGCTAAAAATGAAAGCATTGAAAATGACGTTACCCAAATGTTGAAGCAACATTATCGTAAAATTTAACTGTTATTAAAGAATTCCGTATTCGCTAATAACTCAAAGTTAGAAAATGTGGGTGTTTGATAAACAGCCAATAATGTACTTTAAGATATCCTAATGTATCAAATTTATTATGAAATTCTAATAAATAACGTTATTGGTTAATATCATTATTTTTAATTTGTTATATAAAGAATGAAAAATAATAATGATAATGAATCAAAGAGGGAAGATTAGTCGAAAACAACTCGTGAAATTACAGAAATTACCGATTATTGAATCGTTCGACGTACGTTTACATTGCTAGTATATCGTTATTTATTACGTTCGAATTTATTATTGCAATTTTCTGTATCCTCAAACGGGATCAATCCAGAAACTAGAAAGAAAGTTAATAGAACTGAAATGGTGACTTAATTGTTCATATTTTGGATTTTGACAAACAATTGAAATTAAAAACCAAAAATTCGATTCTTTGTAAGTACATTTTATGTAATGTAAAATTTCGAACTTATGAATAATATAGCAATCTCGTTGCTTAGCTGGAACGGATCGAATTTCTTCAAGCAGTTCAAACAATTGATTCGACGAATCACGCAACGCCCACTTAAATTTCGACTAGATATATTCGCCCATCTCGTTCTTTGAAGTACCACATGGAAAATTTTTAAAAAGCGAAGAAGCCCTCTATGGATACTTCAAACATCTGATGTCACTATCATGATACGTACTACATCGTTAAAGATTTACAGTTAATCCTTCCTTTATTATTATTTTTTCTAAAACACGGAACTATATTTGTAGCAAAATTTTTTCTAAATTAAATACTTTGTAAAGTTCCATTTAAGTTAGAATGTCAACGATAAGCGAAATATATTCTAATAATCTCAGTTAACAAAAATATACATGTAATCTCAAATTTTTTGGTGCTACATAACGTATAAGAACCATTAAGAAGAACCAAAGGTCATCAATATGCTTGAATATGAATTACGCAATCCAGCAAAAATTTATACTTTCTAAACGTGTACTGTATGTAGTTAGCGATATATACTACCGTCCATAAGTTGTTACACATATAGTTAGATAGGTTTCTAGTAAAATGGCGAAAAATTCTCATATATAATTTAATTTTAATTTATAATTTAATATAAATGATCAGAAATAGAAAAAAATGTGATCGTCATTAGAAATAACAAAACAATATTGTATAACTTGAGAAATCTTTTTATAAAAATGCATGAAAAAAAATATCATGTAATGAGTAAAAAATTGTTTAAAAGAAATATCGTTAATATCGACAAATATAAAAGAAAGTAAAGCAAAAGTAAAAAAAATTCTATGAAATAATCGAATATTTTCGCAATCGAATGATATAACAGACAAGATATAATGTTTCGATCTATCTTATATAATAATTAAAAATACAATATTATAAAACTACTATAAAAATTACATACGATAAAAAAATTTATATATACATATGTATGCAAATAAAAAATCTTTTCTATACAAATTATTAATATTAAATTCAAAAATAAATATAAACATTTCCAAAAACTTATTTTCCGCCTACATTAATTCGATTGATTGAAACTAAGATTTTCGGTTTGGTCGACTTTTTTGTTCGAGTCCGATGACTTATGGCTGGCAATGTAGGGGCATAACAGGATGCTCGTGCTTCTCCGATGAGCACGAAAACGTTTACCGTACACGCTGCGACAAACCTCTATTATGCACGCGTGGCAATAGAATGAAAGTCATTGTTCGCAAGGAAAGACGTCAACGACAGGAATACAAATTACATATTTTCACCGATAACAAAATATTAAATCGGAAGCTTACTTAATGTTGATGGAAAACTACCAAATCACTAATTCATAGAATAAAATGCATTCTTAAGCTATGTTTCATTAAATGCACCTTCTATAACGCATGTTTCATTCAATTAAATATATTTCCTAATTTTAACAATTTCTATAGTTTTCACAGAATTACACATAGCTAATGCTAAGTAATTAATTCGGTTAAAAATATTTCCTAATTTGCACTAAATGTAACTTCTATACTATGTAATGCAAAATTACATATAGTTAATGCTCAGTGAGCGATTCGATTAAATACATTTTCTAATTTCACCTAGAATTATTTACTTTAATGCTTATATAACTATAAAAAGGCAACTTATTGATATAGTTACGCTACGTATGTATATTTTCGTGTTAAATTGAAATACAGAAATGCAATACAAGAAGAAAAACACGATGGAATCATGTTATAAATTTTATAAAAAAATCTCACAAAGCGTACATATTATCATTTCTTCCGTTATATGATCTGAGACTAAAGATATTCATTCCAGCATACTAAAGAACCATCTTTGTCAATCTTCATGTATCATATACACAAGGTGATCCAACAATCGTGGTTCGATAGGCAGACAAACATTCTACGTAAAAAAATAGATCGAAAATATAAAATAAAATTTGTTCATACGATGTTTAGTTTTGAAGAAAAATTTGTAAAGTACAATTTGAACTTGGCTAATTGGCTTGAACTGGACAAAAGTAAATAATCAATAGGACATTGTTCTACAAACTATGTGTGAAAGTAGTTTCCGAGGAAACGAAATTTGAAAATTGATCAAGTACGCGTGTATCAAGCGAATTCTTAATCAAACTTTCAAATCCTATTTTCTTGTGAATGGTGTATTAAACCTTGAACGGGAAAATTTGATTCCACACTTTTTATTTATTCTCGCATATAGTATAACTTTCTGCTGGTTGTTTATTTCAATCCAGTCAGTAATTAGCCAAATTGTACACTAAACGAATTTTAAAATTCGATTTTACTAAAAATGGAGTTTGGTATGAAATATTTTATTCTACATATATTTTCGATTTATTTTTTCACGTTGAACCACCCCTTTGTGGATTGTATGACGATTTCTGGGACACCTTATACAATTGAGAAGTCTAACTGAAAAGTAAAAGTAGACACTTACCAAACAAAATTTCTTCGGAAGTAGAGAAGATCAATCCATTTGGACGAAGCAGGTTTCGGTCGACATGCAGCTTGTGGATTGCTTCACGAGGATTCGTTTGGAAAACTGTCAAACAATTCCGCCAAGCACAAACTTTGGAAACCTGACGCACCACTTTACATATTTTCGTGTGAAATGTATCGAGTCATGTATTTGAGGTTATGTTTTGAAAATTTTTGAAAAAAATTTCGCGTGTTAACCCGCCTAAAGCTGCCTATATACAGTAGATATAAACTGCAGCGTGAAGAACATCGTCGCGAAACGAGCGTTGCTTCTCTGCTGGACGAACTGAAGCGAATTGCGAAAGATTCACGAAGTCATTCGTGCTTACCTCGTCCCAGCCGAACTCTCCCGAACCCCGAACCACCGAGCCGCTGTGATTGGCCCATTTTCTCCCTAGTTCACTGGACGAAATCCTGTCTCCCTGTCCCCTCCCTTTCTTATAGGAACTCAAAGGTAACAAGCACGAGTGACTTGTAGTCAGTGATGGGATTGATACGATGCATATCGATGATACTCGAACAATTCACGAAAATATTAGAACATTTACCACAAAAGACTGTTATACGTATATTGTGTTTGTTATATAAAACATTTTGAAATTTTATTATCAATGAGATGAGAATCGGCTATCTTCGTTATATAGGTTAAATTTGAAATCAATCTAAAAATGCATACAGAGTATAAAAATTACGGGATATTCATCGCAAACGTATATTTAATGAAAAATCAGTATACAGTATGAAGAACTATCTCGAACACATCATTTTCAAAAATGGTTCCGTCGAATGTTGAAGTTTATACATTATTAATATAATAGATAATCGAAATATCTTAAATACTTTTGCGATCTCTGTGAAATATGTATTTATATACTCGCGCTAAATACATATCGTGTAGCTTCTATATGCTCTTTCAAATTAATTTCAAATTCGATCGATATAATTAGGACAGTCTGATAGTTGAATCTCATCTTTTTACTTATTTTGTCACATAGAATCATCCTCTTACCATTCGTGCCATGATTACTAGAACATCCTGTAGATTGATTTCTACTTTGCGGGTATAATATTAGTATTAATATTTTCATGCAGTATCAATTTTTATATTAAATATTGAAAAGGTATCGACTATTCTTGATACCTACGATCTTACGACGTAGAATCAAAATTCGTAAATTGATATCGATGCGGTATCATTCCCAACGCTAACGAAGAACGAATGACTTGTATCTTGAACAATTTCTAGTTAATGTCTTTCAGGGAATCCCCGTGCGATTTTATCTTGCTTTTTTTTTAAGCTAGTCAGTGTGTATAAATAGAAGGCGAAGTATAAATATTGATATACGGAAAGAATGCAAATGTATTAAGGGAATTATCTTATTAGAAAAATTGCTGTAATTCTATTAGTTTCATTCGATCAATCAATGTTCTTATCGTTCTTTTTTCTTTTTGTAAGCTTCGTTTATTGTTCAGGACGATTGTGACTGTTGACATGATCTTTATACCTACGAAATAGAAGAACGTTTGAAATTTTGTTTGGATATCGTTGAAGCGCGAAAGAGAATCGATTATTTTAATTATTACTTATTTTATTTTGTATTATCATCGACTTATATTATTATAAAATAAATTATATACAGTACTCAGATTTAGAAAGCTAGAATCATTTAATCATAAAAAATAAAAGAATCATCCACTCTACTTGTTATATCCTTATACAGGGTGGTCGGTAACTAATGGTACAATTAGGTACAAAGTGATTCTATGAAAAAATAAGTAAAAAATGTGGAATAAAATTCTTTCATACGACGCTTCGTTTCTTAGACTATCGAGTTTGAAAATTGATCAATATACGTAAACTTGGCTAAGTACAGACTAAATTTGGATGGAGGTTATTATATATGCAAAAATAAGTCAAAATTGTAAAATAAAATTTTTCTTGTTAATCCGTCATTTTCAAGAATCTAATGTTTGAACGTGTTAGTTAAGAACTGATCTGATGATACACATAAATTTTTAAACTTATTTTTCTCGAAAAAAAGCATCTTAAGAAAAAATTGTATTCTAAACTTGATTTATTTTCGCGCATAGTTTATTTATCTCTACACGTAGCTTATCCTGTTGATTATTTACTCTTGTTCAGTCCGGAATTAGCCAAGTACACTTATCAAATTTTCAACCTCGACTTTCTCGGAAATGAAACGTACAAATTTTTTATTCCATTTTACCGCCTTACTTTTACTCATAGAATCACTCTATAGCCAATTGTGTCAACAGTTACAGGTCACCCTGTATATACCTACTCTAAATATTTTCTAAACCTTCTATGAAAATAAATGAAATATAACATATAAGCTACTTTCACTTGACTGCATTTGGATTAAGAAATATTATAATTAGTTTATCATGGATAATACCAATTACGAGAAATAGAATAACAATCGTCTCAGTTTATGATAAATAGTAAAATAACAACAAAGTATACATATTTTGCAAGTAAGTATTTACACATTTTTAAAAGTTGTTGATCAGTTAGAAGAAACTGGTGTAGGTTATGTAAATTAGAATCTCATTAAAATTTTGCTTGTTTTAGCAACATCACGCGGGTTAGTACTATGTGCATTGGCAATTAGTGCTAAAAACGTTCAATATGAAAACTGCAAACACAAAACGGTCATGATGTATATTTTTTCAGTTGTTTAAATATAAAACAACAATTCCAGTTAGTGGTTTATTAAAGAATGAAAGTACATATTACATATATGAATATCGAAACGTAATTCAAGTCTCAAGGGAATAAATCATACTTGAACTTCTAATAGTCTAATAAAATGTGTTTTGTCACGTGCCACGTGACGAACAGAAAACGCGTTAAGATGAATGGTTTTATTTTAGGTGATAGACTGGCACGTGTATCGGTGAATCCTCTTATGATTATTACAATTTATATCAATTTCCTTCTCCACATGGACTCCTTTTATTCGTGGTCTCCCACATAGAATTACACGTGTCAAGATGAACAAAGAAGCCTCATGTGGCGTCTAACGAACGTATAACACATATGTACATACGTATATGTACATACGTACACATATGTGTATATATAAAACAATATAAAACGTACAAATTACGATGGTCAAGGTAGCAAAAGTAAACAAAAAGTAAACACGATGATCAGCGATAATTATCAAAATTAAAATTTTCAACAAATACATTATTATAAAAAGGACTTTTTTATTTTTTATCCAAATAGTACTGGGAATTCGAAAATCCAAAAATTTAATACACTCAAGGCGGATCATAGCAAATCAAGGAGTCTTTCTTTATTGGAGGAGAGGGGAGAGTGACAGAGACAAAGACAGAGAGAGGCAAAACGTACAAGAGTCAAGTATATATCAGTATATTTTCGAACCTTCTTTTACAAGATTTACAATTTGCTTGCAGTTTATATTTTAATATCTCTATCTGATATTGTAACCTAAATAATTAAATTCACATTAATTATAAGGATGACTCAGCCGAAATTACCATTAAAGTCTCCTCCTCTTTTCCTCTATTGGAGGATATGTGCCACCATTAGGTACGACTGTCGTATTACCTCGAGGAATTAATGGAGGTAATTAATAACATATTTTATTCCAAGGCGGATTTCTTCAGTCGCACAATTTTTCCTCTTCATCCTTTTTTCGGGCATGTATCTTGACTTTATACAAATGTTTTAAAGCTGCTACTCGATATTCTTCTCCTTTAGTGCATAATGTGCACGATAAATTTCTGCGATCTCCAGAAGTTCTCCCAGCATTCGCTATAAATTTGGGATTGAAGCGTAATGATGTTAACGAATCCTTTGAAATGCCGTTCTTAAATTATACATTGAGATCTACCTCCATACTGTGCTCTCAGCAGATAAACGACGACCGTTTTTCCTTAATTCATTAAAAGTTGTTGCAGAATCGCAAAATATCATTTTAACTAAATCTCGTTTTTCGATTATATACAAGAATTCCCGTGACGTCACTTTTGCACGCATATCCGTATAAAATTCATCCATAGTTTCTACCTTGCGCAACATGTTACCGTTGGATGACTAATTATTTCCATCAATCTCAATAAACGTTGGCTCAGCGTTTATATTGACTCAACATGTCTTGAACATAAATTCTTACAAACGAATCTTATTCTTCCTACGTTGAACCCAAAGTTGAATTTTAACATCACCTGCCGTATTTAAAAATGTACTGCTTTCGGGTTGTTTCCCTCGACAATTCCATCGAGTCAATTTTACCATGATGGCAAAAAATGAAGCTATAGGAATTCCGATAGACAATCGGCAAACTCGTCATTCCACTTTGTGGAAGCGTTCTCCCTCTCTCATCTATTCTTTCGTCGACCGCTAATTCGATTATTTTATGAGTACGACTATCATCACTACTTGTAGTTGAATTATCGAAGTCTAACGTAATCGAAATTTAATCCAAATCTAATTCAAATACGAATGCGATGGAAATCTAACCCAAACTGAACTCGAACTCACTTATCTAGACATAGACTTATTTCTCTAAATGATATCGTACCTTTAACCGTTTTAACGCCAAGCAGCGCCCTCGCTGTTTGCGTACAGTGGTGAACTGCGTCGCGATGTTTGGTCACGATCGTCAATTCGAAGCGCTATCGCGCTGCATGGCACAATCCGGCACGGATAAACCCCTGGCACTAAAACGGTTAGGGCTCTGGGGTATGCGCTGAGCTGCTCGATTCAGTCCTTCTGCCAGAAGGTTCATCGTCTAACCTACTCCGTGGACAGATCCTTTCAGGGCATTGTTATCATCTTACGCTCGCCGTGGGGCATCATGACGTCTGTAACATTAGCGCCTCTTACAATTTGTCGGCCAAAAATTATACGTTCGCGACGCTTAGAATTCGTCATTAAACCAAAATTCGCGATTTTCGATAGTTCGATGAACCTTAAAAGCAATCGCTATGAATCTCGTTGCCGGCATAACACATAAATACAGTATATAAACTTATTACGGTTCATATAATTTAATCAGTGTTTGATGAATAAGGAAATTTGTAGAAGTCCATGTTTCCGAACCCAAGTAATTAAGCCACTTACTTTAAATTGGGTAAATTGGATAGATTTCATTTTAAAGATACCATAAGATGAAGATTCCTAAAATTAGAGAGAGAAAGGGAGGGGAATAAAAGCGAAGGGTACTTTTACACATGCAAACGTTCCCTGCCACGTGTCGGTTTCTTCTACGTGTCGTCAAGATAAAAGAAATAGGGCATCGCAGGATAAGCAAGGAGTATGAGAAAGCGCGAAGGTTGAAGAACACCGTGCTAGTCGCGCTGCGACGAATCGTTCCATGATCGGTGACCGAACTGTAAACACGTGTAAGACGACGCTGATTCGAGATAACTGAAATCGCGTATATGATACTTCTTCGTTCGTTAGATACTTAACGTTCGTCTGCGTTAATGATTGTACAAAGAATGGACGAGTATCTTAGACGTTACAATCGTAAAACCGTTGAGGCCCGCCAACTTGTGATGCAGTAAAGAAGGGGGCCTAACTTAAGGCATCTTCGAGTGTTTTCGCGTTCTCTTCGTAAAAAGCACAAAGTGACGAAAGCCAGCCGACCGTCTCAGAGTTTCGAGCTACGCGTTTTTTTACACACGCAAGCCAATATAAAACAGAGTACAAAATAAAATAAAACCGGAACAAAGAAAACGAAACAGAGCTGGTGTATTTATCGAAAGACTATTTTCTCATGGATTTGAACAGGACTTTTCTTAAATAATTTTCTTATGGCGTTCAGATAGCAAAAAGGAACAAAGTAATAGAAAAGGATATCAGTGATCTTAAAGAAAATAGAATACTATAGACATTAGTAGGACGTCAGGCGGATTATGTACGACACGTATACGTGCTCCATGTGTATGTGTGTGTGTATGTATATGTGCAATTTGACTCACGAATATTAGATTAGGATTCGATTAGTTTACGTTAATACAATTTTTGGCGAATGCATTCGTGTAATAGTATGACTCATGAATGTGCTAACAACTTATTACGATTATTCTTTCTCTTATTCGTATGTCATAACAGAGTGGTTACAAGTAAATCCCTTCAAAACCGTGAAAGTGTAGGTTTTCGATAAGTAATGTGTACGATGAGATATTTTCGAGAGTCAACGAATGGCTATGTCTCTACCGCTCATATGTTTATGCTTTACTAACACACTTGGTAAGGATATACGATACACCACGTGGAATACAAAAGTATAATGCAAATGGATGGTATCGAATCGAACGGAGATCAGCTGAGCATATAGAAATAACAACAGTGAAACAAAGTTCAATCGTTTAATTGAGAAATTATTGTAAACTATTGTAAAACGTACAATATATTATAAACATAAAATAAAAAGGTAATTTGTATACGTTACTATGTAATGTTTATAGAAATGGAAACTATCTCAAGAGAATTTTTTTTTAATATTTGTAGAAATCACTACCCAAAAGAATTTGCAAATCATAATGAAAGAGGAAGTACAAACATTTAGAAAATTAAAATAAATCTTGTCAAATTAAACCTTTACCTTTTGAGAATATTCTATCATTATATTATACCCGTTTCCAAAAGAAAAAAAAACGGATGAAATTTCTTTATATATTGCCAATAAATGTTATGAACAAAAATAAAAAATAACAATTATTTTTCAAAATTTTTACGAAAAATATCAGCGAGAAAAAGTGAACCTTTTTTTAAATAAGAAATAGTGATTAGTAAAATCTAAAGATTTCATCCTTCTGAAAAATGAAATTAGTAAAAAATATAAATATCTTTATATATTCTAGTTACGAATAACCAAACAAAGAAAAAAATCTGTTTTTTAAAAACGCATTTTAAAAACATTGAGGTTGATTAATTCCCATAAATTAAAGAAACATACGATATATATTTAACTGAATAAAAAATTTTACATGTGGTTTAGTGTGTTATCACTATATTATAGTGATGTGAAAACGTACTGCAAATATACAATTTTCATTTTGAATAATTACAAATTTATCTCTCTTACGATGTATGGAATATTACAAAATATTTCTTATCGTTGTCATAAATGTTAATCCATTTGGACCGATGAAGATTTGTAAAACAGAACTATCGCGCATAATTCATCTTGATGTTGAAATTCAAAACCTACGCTGCCCTTCAGTTATGTATTTAGTTACTATTAAAATCCTCCAAATATTTACTATATCGACGATATCAATGTGATTTTATATACAATAAAGAATCGAATACGCACAAAATTTTAAAATATTTTCTATGGCCTTCTTAAGATAGCTTTCGTAATAAAGCAATACATTTATATAAAAGATAAAAAAAAAAACATTTTTACAAAAAAATACCTCGGTTGATATCGATATCTCGCTCATTCCACTGATTAGGATTTTTTAATGTTGTAGAAATTAAAATTTTTAACAATACATACATTTCTCCTATACATAAAACCGCCGCTCGGTTACTGCTTAAAACAAACCTAATTCTTATCTTTTTTTTATAGTTTATTGGCATATCTTCTTGTTAGATTTGGATGTTATTCTATCCGGCAACAAATATTGACACATACTTTGCAACGAATGCACAGTTATAGACACAATAATTCACTCTAATGGTATCGACAGTTCTTTGCGAATATCTCGGAAATTAAGATCGAGCGCAGGTTTCACGTACAGGAAAAAGTTATTAAAAATTTTAATTTCTATATAAATAATAATAATGTATTAAATATTAATATTAATATTAAATATATTGCTAGATATACTTAGGATATTAAAAAATCGAAATCAGATAGGTGGATTAAATATTGATGATTATCGATTTCATTCGTTCTTGCAATAAAATGAATATAAACTCACTAATTTTTTGTTATACAGAGTGTAAATTAACAATATTCTATCATACACAGATGTCCGCTTTAAAAATTATGTTATTCTAAATGAATAATTAATAGTAATTAACAATTTTCCCAGAAAAAATTAATGTGATGGAAATTCATGGAACATTGAAATCTTTTAATATTTTATTGCATATTACGATTTAAATACAAAACTTTATCTTAGTCTAATATTAAAATGTCGATTTATCAAAAGAAAAAAATTCTAGGACATACGTTGAAGACAAACTTAAAAAAGATGATCCTTCGTATGAGTCCAAAATATTTAAAGTCTGTAGTAAGATTTCATTTTATACAACCCAAGAAATCTCTCTGTCTTAGTTAGCTGGTGATATAACAATATGTAATTTGAGCATATCTTTATTTGGACCTACTAGAAAAGGAGATGTATTTTCCGAGACGGAACCCTGCTGCGGGTTAAGTTCCTCAAACGGTAAAAGATCGTCCAAATTAAGAACACGTTCTTTTTTACTAAATCTGTGAATAATTTCTGTTACTCTTGCAATATGTTCAACGCCATCCTGTAAACCATATATTAAAACACCTATTTTTACACGCATATCAGCATTACTATTTACAGATGGATCCTTACAGGTGAGTGATAATCTAACTGAACGTTTCACATGTTCGGGCATTTCTACGGTTCCTTGCCACACTATTAAGAAAAACTTTTTAAACCAAACACCTTTTGGATATATATCTACAACCCATTCACACGCGCGGTCACCAGCATACTCTGCTAAACAGGAATGACTTGAAAATACGAGCGTTCTGGTGTGGTAAGAGGGTAAACCATGAAAATTTTCTATCGTAAGTAATGAACTACAGGTGTCTATAGTGTATAATCTTGGTTCAAAAAGTAATGCACCATCTTCTTCGTTTAAACTTACTTCTTTAACTTTATCCAGCTGACCAGAATGAAATGACATTCCTATAGACATCCGTTCTACAAAGAATTCTTTGTATTTTTTCGTTAAAGGAAATAAAAGTAATTCTGCTAATTGTCGAGGAGACATCATTGGAAATCTAACAGGAGACATCACAGCTATTACCAATTGTTCTAACGTAGCTTCTAATTCGTCGTGCGACAATTGACTTTTCAACCGATTTGCCTGATGATCCAACCAAGATTCTAAACATTTGTATAATGTCATTTCATCCTTTACCACTAAACTACTTTGATGTAGCAACGATACTAAAATATCTAAATCAAAATTTCCAAAGTCTGCAGTTCTGGCCACCAATTCCAAATTCCACTTAATAAAATTTTGACATGCTTGAGTAATATTGTGATGACCACAATTTGACGTATACTGTAACCATGATACTAGAGTGCCGTGTATGGCAGCTAATGCAATATGATTTTGCATATAATCAAGGCACAATGATATTAAATCCTTAACATTATACTTATCGGCTAAAGATAATATTGGTAGAACAACTCCATAATTAATTCTTATTTGACCAGTATAAAAGTACCGCAAAAACTCACTAAATATAGGTACACATTGTGGCGTTTCTTGGAGGGTTACTCTACTTTCCTGTGACTCACTCCACTGAGGACTCATTAACATTACCTGCAATAAGAAAAATTAGAGTATATGTTGAAATGTTAGCTGTACCAAAAAAGATAATAATAAATATAACGTTAGGTAATTATGTAAAATTTCATCGGCTTCGATGACTTTGAAGTATATCGTCAACATTTTAACTAACTTTTTTCTACATATATATATATAATATATATAACCATTGCTCAATTTCCGAAAAGTTTACAAAAAACTTCAGTTAAATTTAGGTTTGAGTTACACTAAGTTTTTGTGAAGACAATTGTGTGGCGGTGACCGCATTTTTAAAATATAAGTGACCCGCAGGCAGCGACCAATAGTGATGCTGTCACAGACCCAAAACTATGCTCAAAATTCAATTAATACGGACAGATTTCGCGAATATCTCGGAAAGTAAGGTCGACCAACGTTTATATGTATAAAAAGATGTTCTAAATGTTGATTTCTATAACATATTCAAAAAACACCAAATATAACATATTCAAAAAATTCCGAACTCGGAGAGAACGGAAATCGTCAAGAATCTATAAACACCACAGCCGTGACACAATGTTAGCAGTGATCACTAACACGCAATTTCAATTAGATGCTACTGAAAATATTTGTATTTTGGTCAAATCACCTGTATACTTATTTTTTATTATTATTCGATTTGGGGATAAAAACTCAGAATATTTATTAAAACAATGAGAACCCAAAGGAACACGTATGTATCATACTGAAAAGGATATAAACTGTAGCAAATGAAAAATACAAAGAAGGAAAACACAAATTATTAGCATGTACAATATGATGTATGAATACATATATAGTGAATAAAATAATCTCTACAGCAAAAGAAATTTGGAGCTGTCCTTGGCATATCTCTTTTAGCAATTCGAAACCATGCCTTTTCGTAGATTACTATCTTCAGGAACGGTACATTTCTGATATTTTTATTGAATCATTCTGACATTGTGGAACAAAAGCCATTTATAATTTCTTTTTTCATGAACTTCCATAGCGTTTATTAGATTCACAATCAGGAAATCATTCTCACTTTGTGTTGACTTGTACATATTGCAGACGACGCGACTGACTTGTGACGTCACGCGTTCTTGGAGTAAATTCGGTAAGCGATCGAAAATGTTCGGTTTTATTAATTTTTAATTGCTTATAACTCTTTTATTTTTAATAATTCAAATTTACATAATCTTTATTTTGCTACAATGTAAAGGTTGTTAATGAATTAGTTAAAAATCTTTTGTAATTTAATGAGCCCAAACATAGTATCAGTTGGTCTATTTTAAATAAGGTGACTGTTTGGTGATCTTTTTTTTTATAATGTTCTCAACACATTTTGAATACAAATAAAGTCAGATAGAAAAACATAGTAGTGCAATGTAAAATGTAATTTGTCCTCAACTCAGTTGTATTTTGAAAATTCTTGTTAGATATGCCAAAGTTAATCATTTTTAATATATGAGTGAAATAAGAAATATGTCAACCTATCATTATTTGGCACAATATACGTATTTTATAAGTAAATTAAATTCCACTACATAATATTTACTTTACTGCTAAAATTTAATTACATGGATAAGTATTTATATCATATGTACAAAATACGTTATTAAATTAGTATCACCTAAAAGAAAGTAACTATACAGAAAGAAAAAAATCAACAAATTATAACAGCATTTCGCCATAAAAAGCTTTGATTTCAAATAAAATGATAAATATACATTGAATATATGTATATAACACCATTGTACTTATGTCTGAATTAAGTTGTATCTATAAATTACTTTTATTACTTTATCATACTAAATGATGAAGAATGAATAATAAAACAGAAGTACCTTCCACTTAAAGACTTACTGTTTATTAATATAAAAATTTGCTAGAAAAAATTTTACTGGACTACCAACATAATTATATTCAATACGTTTATATCTTTTGGAATATACTAAATATACTGAATGAATTATTAATATCAATTTACATGAGGAAAATGTTACTTTATACTAATTTACTTTTTTTAATAAAATCATATTCTTTTAAGTTACATTACCAGTTTAATGACATCCTGTATAACGAACAATTATGTGTTTTATTTTATCTTATTTTATATTCTACCTTAAAATTTACTTACTTGGAAAACATCACTTGAAGCACAAAGTATAAGGCGATGTGCTGGATATTCTATACCATTAACAACAAGACAAATATCATTCATAAGACGTTCTGCATATAATGTTGCTATTTTTAAAAGAACTGTACGCGAATTATCCACCTAAATAGAAAATATAATAAATTCAGTTCTTCAAATAAAATTTTGTTAATCTTTCTTTTGTTTAAATGATAATTTATATCCCTTAATAACAACCTCTATTGAATCTGGACTTTCAGAATTTCCAACATTATTTGGAACATTACTAGATTCTTCCGTTTCTTTGTTTGTATCCATCTTCGAAGAACCTGTCATACTTGATCATCACTGTTTCTTTTGGACTAACTTTTAATTCCACTTCTATAGGATAGTACTCAAATTTGTTTTATAATCAGAATAATGGCCTGAATAAATATTCATCTTTTCTTTATAAATTTTAATGTTTTAATACTCTTATAACTGTAAGAAAGAATATATAATATATAGTGCATATGTATCTTTATTAACTAACTTATTATTATTAAAAGGTAAACTAATATATATATTGCAATATTTTGTATAATATAAAAGTATACATTATATCCTCAAAAAAGAAAGTAAATTGAAAAATAGTAATGGATTTTAATAAAATTGTTGATTATTTATATGTTACTTAAGATTATTAATATATGTAATGCATATGTTTTATAAACAGAAACGTTATATGTTTAACAGTGGTTATGTTTATCTTATATAAAGACATTGAATAAAGTAGTAATTGATAAATTTTAATTTGTCAAAGACTGTATACGATTGTAATGAATTAAAAAGATTTTGCTAATTAAATACGAAGGAGGTAAATTGTGAAACCTCAGTTGTCTATTTTAATATTAAATCACTAAGATATATAAATTCTTTTATTAAACTATGAAAGAACTATCACTGTTTTTATTTTGTATACATACGTTAATATTCAACTGGATTTATTTCATATACAATTTCGAAATGTCCAAAACTTGTAAAAACCACATCGACGTGAGATAGTAACTGAACTGATTTGAAAGTCGATTGTATAAATACATACAAGACTAGTGATAAAGTAAGCTAAGCGCTGTAGTATATTCAGCGCGAATTTTGATACAAGTTTTAGAATTACTTGATTCTTAAAGGAAATTTCAAATATACTAAATAATTTAATTAACGAAATAATACACGAATAAATAGTTGTCTAATATGACTATGGTTAATCGATATAAGATATATTTATTTGATAAATTTAAATTGATCGATACATATTACGACTACTTTCAAATTTGGAAATTTCAATTTCCATGTAGTTTTTTATATTTTTATTGGTAAACAAGATTTTTATTCAAAAACTGAACAAATGATTTACAATGGAAATAATCTGTATCATTTTATTATATGTATAAGATTCAAACAATAAAAAAGATACAAATCCAGATACTATGAACAAAATAATAGAGCAAAAGAATTGTATTATATCATGATTTCTCTCTTGATATTTTATTTATATCCAATAAGGGTGTTTCTTTGGAGTTTAATTTAATTTTATAACAGAATATTAATTATCATTTTATAATACTTGAGTGTACTTTCTATAATTACAAATAAAAGAATATCAGATTATTAAGATTACAGCAGTATATTTATTAATATTTATTTTGTATAAAAAATACTTACAAAAAGTTGTATAATATATAAAATTTTATATTTAATTGCAGGTAACTAAAATTTGATAGGTTATCTGAATTAATAATCTTAATGAGTCAACTTATACGTTTCCTTAATGAATTACGGATATCTGTATAGACTAGTTAGAATATAACTTAAAATTACGAGTATATGCTATTTAACATACTCTTATTTCATTAGATTTTAATATCACATCTTCAGTGGTATTTCCATATTGTCTTAACTGCAATATTAGCTTCTGCGCTATCCACAAATACAAATCAATAGATTTGTGAATTTTAATTTTATGTTCAAGTGCTTGTAAATTGTGTTCAAATTTTATATTACACAATAAACAGATTGTATCATGATATTTTAAGTAATGAACTTTGTATTGCTGAGTATTTGAGAATTGTTCTGAACATGTTATACAACTGAAACATTTGTTTTCTACAATAGTATCAAATCTTTGATATTCGTAAAGTGACAATAAACGTTTTACACCAAGGATTTCTATTATATCATTTTGAGAATTTATATCTCCTTGTGTTATTTCAATATTAGCATCGTTTTCTCTAAAACACACATTATTTGAGACTATGTGATCGGATATTAAATGTTTTACTACTTTATCTGTAAAATATAAGCTATTACAAATTTGACATATCTCTCTTTTATGTCTTTCTTCCAGATGAAGATTAAATTGTACTGCTGTAGCACATAATGTATTACAGTGCAGTATATTTTTATCATCGTGTGGTATATTAGATGTGATGTGCATTTCTGAAAGTTTTTCATTTAGTTCATCTAATTCTTTAATTTCCACATTTTTATTCCTATAAGGAATAGCCTTGTCATTCAATTGTTTTCTACTGAATTCAGAATTAACATTTGTATTATCTACAGTACAAGGTAAATAGTCTTTCGCAGGTGCAGATAAATCTATGAAAGTTTCTGTAACATTGGAATTATTACTTATAGAATGCGTTGTTTCATGTCTTGTTAGCATGTACATTGTAAGAAAATTTAATTTACATGTTTTGCATACATGTGGACCTACTTTTTCTAAATGATAATTCATATTATGTCGTGTTAGAGATATACCATTGGGAAAAGTGAGACTACATCTCTTGCAATTCCAGGTAGTAACATTAATGCACATATGAATGTTCACCATTGCAACTGAAGTAAGGATTTTGTTACAATTATCACAAATATGAACTACAGATTCATCATTATGACAGTAATACTTATGTCGTAAGTAATTTCTAAGTAATGCAAAATTTTCTTTACATGCGTTACAACGCCACTTTCTATATTTTTGTTTATTTTCCTGTTGCAAAACTTTCTTTACTTCTTTTATTTTACATGTCACATTGCGTTTCATTTTAGATACACGAGTACCTTGTGCAGACAGATCTTTTACTTTATATGGTATCATTGATAAATTTGGTGATCTTGGATCTTCAAACAACGAATCATGTAAAAAGAACATATGTTCCTTAAATATTGTCAAAGAACTAAATCTTTTGTCACATATAATGCAATGCAGTTCTTTTAAACCATAACTTACATTTTCTTTACTTGCATCTATTATTGAATTAGTATTTGTAGTAAAATTTGTTGGAAACATGTTTCCAATTTCATTTTCTGTATTTTGCTGCTCATTAGTACTTGTTTTACGTTTTTTTGTAATGTTCATACTGTATTTAATTAATTTTTGCCTTTTCGCATCATTTCTTGTTTTTTGTGTATGTGTAAGGTTTATATATAATGCAAAATTACAATCA